TTAATTCCTCTATAGGGGCCAGGTTTGAGACACATAGTACCGAAATAGTATTTGTATCCTGGCTTTGTGCAATGTGTTCAAATACTAATTAGGAATAAGGCACGTAGTGCCGAATTGTTATCTATTATGTTATCTCAGAATAAGGCACATAGTGCCAAATTGTTAGCAGTTATATTGCACTTGAATATCATTTGAGAATGAGGCATATAGTGCCAAACTGTTAGCAGTTGTTAGCTTTACATAATTTATTCGAATGTTACCTGAGAATGAGGCACATAGTGCCGAATTGTTATCCTTACTCAGTAACCTACCAAAGCATCCGATGATGAGGCATATAGTGCCAAATTGTTAACATATCTGTTGATACCCCAAAGCATCTGATGATAAGGCACGTAGTGCCGAATTGTTATCCCTACTTGGTGACCCACTCGAGTATAATTTTTATTTTTCTTTTCCTATATATTATTTTGCTTGAGTGGGTCACCAAAAGTTTACTATATTTTTCGATTCTAAAACACTTTCAAATACTTCAGAATATCATTAGCATAAGCCTGTCTTTGATAGAAAAAATTGATTGCGCCTTTTGGGTCACTGCATTAAAATATTTATCATGTTTTCTGGAGTATTCTATCAAAAATATATCACACTTTTTGGGTCATGACATCAAAAATTTTTTTTTGCCTTTTGGGGTACCATATTGGAAAATTTGATCGCTTTTTTCATTTTGAAGATTTTGGAATTTTCTATATATTTTTACAATAGTTTTTTCCATATACAGTATCATGTTACTTATACAAAAAAAACCTGAATTTGATTTTAGTGAAATAAATGAAGCAATTAGGCTCTTTTCAAAGTTGGCGGACCTTGATTTTGAGCCTAGCTATAATCATAATGATCATGTATATTTCAAATATTTGTCTAATAATAAAGATGATATCACTCTTCTAGATACCTATCATTCTAATGAGATTTTTAATAAATATATAATTTTTTTTTATGGAGAGTAGTAGGGACCTTTATTTTAGTCTCGAAATTTTGTTTATATTTCAAGAAATTGACTTCATTCATGCTTTCTCGTTCCTTTTTCCAGTAATTAATATGCGTCTTGCAAGATCTAATGAGTTGCATAAAAAATTTTATAAACAATAAAAAATTGTAATGAGATTGATACTAATTCCTTTATTTATACTAAAAGATGCGAAGGTGAATGTATAGCTAAAGTCAGATCCAATTCAGATATTTATTTATGGTTCTGTAAAAATCAGCATTGATGAAAAAGATCCTATAAAGATATAAAGCAAAATTATAGATAGTGCAATATTTGTTCTCGTATACCAGAAAGAACATATTGATATATTTTTGAAGATTTATTACATAAAAAATTTCTATCTCGTAAACCTAAATTTTTAGAAGGTTTACATCTTGATGGGTATAATTAAAAGTTAGATTTAGCTTTTGAATTCAGTGGTAGTAACATTATCAAATTGTAACTTTTTTTCACCCGCAAGGTCAAAAGAATTTGAATGCACAAATTCAATGTGATTGGAAAAAAAGATCGTTATGTTATAAAGAAGGGATAATCCTTATTACAATACTCTATTGTATTGTTGACTTAGAAACTTTTATAAAAAGCATCCTATATGCGTTCGGTTATCTTTCAATATCCACCTAGGAGATAACATAGGCTTCTTCTTAATATATATTAATTGTTCTCTAACAAAAGGACGCTGAGGTCCTGAATTATCTAAATAATATAAAACAGGCATTGGAAGGTTTCTTTCAACAACAATTCTCCAAATCTTATGCAGGCTAGAAGACCATATCGGATCTGTTATTCTGCATCATTCGAAAAGATCATTTTTCCACTCTCCAGGAGCAAGCAAAAATCAGATAGTAGTACCCTTTGGTAGTTGTGGTTCATCAACACCTATTGGGCGATTATATTTTACTGATGCTTCAAAATATATCCACTCAAGTTTTGTGGCATCATTAGGACTCATCCCAATTAATCAAGTTGGGCTATCATTCATATTATCAACAATTTTTCTTACAAACCACTCATATTCTCTACAGCACTTGCCAGTAGGTAGGAGAAACTTTATCAAATACTGATTTTTAAAAACTCTATATTCAAATAATTCAGCATAACAATCGATCATTGCGAAACTTGTATGTCTGAAATGTGCTATAATTCTTCAGATTTCAATGCCATGTTCATCTATTAATAAAGTCACGTATCCCATAAACTCAGTACCCATATCACATTGCATTTTTCAAGACCAGTTGAGAGGCTTATCGGGATTATTGTATATACTTTTAAATGCTTCCGCAACTTCCTTACTGCTCTTTGATGTTAAAAAAACAAAATCTTTATATCTAATTATGCAGTCTATAACCAATAATACATAGTAATATATTGGACCATTATCTAGTAAATTTGTATCCACATCTTTATCATATGGTATTTCGATTAAATCATATTGGTGCACAGTATTTTGCTTCGTGATTTTAGAATAACTGGCATAAGGTATATGCTTTAATGAAGGACAAAAAATTTGATATATTGCTTGCCTATCAAGCTATTTTTTTATATCAGTAAATAGAAAGCTGTAGCCGGCTTTTTTACAAGCATTCCATAATTCCTTGGTATTTTAATAAAGACCCTCAGAACGATAATATAGTTTTTGCAAAGTGAGATGCTGGTCTAAATTATGGGCCTTCTGTGAATCAATATAAATTACAGGTTGTTCCATTACTTATTGAAAAACAATGAAACTTTGTTTCTAATCTATTATAGTTAGTAAAAAAAAATATGGAAGAATTAAGACAAACTAATCAGGAGTTCCATGAGAAAATATCACATTTAGCCCAATCAAATAGAAGCATAGAACAATGAGTATATACAGTACTTTAGAAAGGGCTATTGCTATACATGAAGAAAGAATCCAATTTCTTGAAGAGGAACTAGAAAATACTATTGAACTTTTTAATGAAGAAAAAGATAAAATGATAAAAGAAATCCTAAATTTAAAAAGAATTGTTCGACAATTTGAAAAAGAAAATAAACAAAAAAATGAAGAAATATCTATTAAGGATAAGTTAATAATGGAATTTGATGAATGTAAAAAAAAATTAAAAATTTGAATTTGAGAAATATCCAAATCAGCAGGTAATACCCCCAAGGCATTGAATTATACATCAAAATTAATAGATGAAAATGAGCATCTTAAGCGTGAAATAAGTAAATTACAATATATTCTTATAAATAGAAATAATAAAATAGATCTGCAAAAAGTACGTACTGTATAACTGATTTACATTGTCAAAATTTTGCATTAGCATTATTAAGATATCAGAATAAATTAGAACTTATAAATACTCAAGAAACTTTACAAAATTCACAAATATGGAATTCTAATGTTATAATATCTAAAAATGAATCTGATGAAAATTCATAAGACAGTAATATATCAGAAGAAATATTAACAATAGTTGAATTAGCCAATACTATAGATGGATATTTGGATAATCCAGGAACAAATAAAGAGATTTTATCTAATCAAATAAAAAGGGTTACAAGACAAATACGCCATAAAAACAATAATTTACAAAATGTTGAAGTGAAACAAGATTTATCTATCCAAGCTTTCAATAATGAACAAGAAGAGCAACGTCGCTGGTGGGAGATTGCTAAGCAATTAGAAAGGGGGATGCAAAAATGGGTTAATACTTTATTGCTTGAAAAACTTATACTTAATTTTAAAAATTGACAATATTTTTAACAGTTACAAAGGTGTCGTACACATGGTAGGGATCTATAACTTAGGTTGGATACATGCCAAGATGATTTATTTCTTTGTGATTTGCTGTTAGATAATAAATAGGGTAAATGAAAAACTCGTGCAAGAAATTCTGAGCAATTAATTTTAAATTTACAAGGACAAATTTTATTGCTACAGAATAATCCACTATTAAATATGGCTGAGATTAGACATTTACCAGTATTAAAATTATTGTCTCCTGCTCTTGCAAGATTTCAACCTTATATAGGTCAAGAACTATCTGATTATTACTTGGATAAAGTTATTCAATCATGGGTATATCTTGAAGGACATATGACAGTTCTTGAGAATGCAAATGCAAGAGATTTTGACAATGCAGTAAAGTGTAATATTTTAAAATCTATGATGGGTGGAAAATATGCTTCAGTATCAGCTTAAAATAATTTTGTAAATCCTGCAGTTAATATCAATAGTCCAGATACATTACAAGAATGGTTAAAAGCATAATACTAGCGGAATACTATTGGAAATCAATAATCAGCTATTCAAAGATTGACTCAGGAAAAATATCAGCCCTATGACACTCCAGATACCTATAAAGCTAGAATTTGACCATTAATAATAAGAATAGCAGACAATGATGAACAAGTTTTAGGATTCCTAAAAAGCTATTTGATAGGTGATTTTTATACTTGGATAAGAATTGCTAATCCAAGAGGCATTAATGCATTTTTCACTAAACTAAAAAATATGTGGTTAGAGCATACTATGGTTCCGAAAATTGGAATCGAATAGAATCGAACAGAATTGCATGAGGTTCGGAACACTATTAAAAATGATGATGGAGTATACCCCACCTATTAAATTTAATATAAACTTGAGAATTGAATACAGAATCAAAGAGAATCATTAGGATCCTTAGAGCATACACCAAATTTAAGTGGAAGAATTGCAGAAGAATTAAATCAAACTACTTTAAATCCAGTATCCTATTCTTTATCACAAGTTATTCCAGTTTTTCAACAACAAACTGAATATCAGTTTTTATTAGAAAAACAGAAAAACGAATTTCAATCTATATTAGAAAAATATAATGCTGAACATAAAGCTGAAATAGAATCTATATTATAACAAAAATTGAAAAAAATACTATCACCTATACCACCAAAAAATATAGATAAAATTGATAGTACTATATTATTAAAAGAATTATATGGTATGAGATATAGAGATAGTCCATTAGTAGATTTTATGGAAACATATAAAAAGCATAGTGATGATATAAAAAGAACACATAATGATAGAAAAGGAAGAATGAAAAAAGGACTGAATGAAACTCATGAATCTGTAAACCAATTAATCAAAGAATTTCAGAAAATAAATATAAATAAAGATAATACTACAAAATCTAATTTTACTCAATTTTATTTCACACCTCTTAAATCTTTATATCCTCAATATGAAGATGATGATAATAGTGGGTATGAAGAAGAAAACGGCATATGGCTTGAATGATTCTGAAAAAAAAAATAGGCAAATGAATCATATTATCAGCAATTGCCAAAGCTTTCACCAGAAATACATAAAATGTGTCTGTTTCAAAAGGTTCAAGAGAAAAAATCAGATAAGTGGTTTTTATCTTTATAGTACTTACATTGTAATATAAATGATTTATCAATTTCTAAATCTTTTTTAGATCCTGGATCTGAATTCGGTGCTATAAATGATCCTGCAATTAAGATGCTTGAATGGAGGGCTGATAAACCATTTGACTTTACTATAAAAGGCAATTCCAAACATATTACCAATTCATTAGGATGGTATACGGATGTGCCAGTTACCTTGAAAGATAAAGAAAATAAGACTGTTATAGTTATTGAAAATTTTGTTCGTATTGATAATAGAGAATTTAAACCAATGCTATTTTTAGGCATGTCAAATATTCAAAAAGTTCAAGGTATTCTTGATCCAAATAATAATCAATTTCGTATAAATATTTATGATAAGTCTTATATAATTCCAACATTCAGCAAGGCCCCAGTAGCGAAGAATTCACCAAAAGAGACAGAGATCACAAAAATATTGGATTCTGATGAATTGGAAACTCGAGACTTTAACTCTTTATCTAGTAAAGAATTAAAAAAAAAATTAACTATGTAAATCATGAAAGTATGAAAAATTGAATAAAAGAGCTTGAAAAGGCATTATTATCTAGCATTCAATCGAATTTAGAAATGATAGAATACTATAATAGTTTACTTAAACAATATGAAGCTAAGATTGTTTAAGAGCATGACCAGATTCTCTAATTTTTTCTATATTACTATTAGTTCTCTTAAACAAATCCAAGACATCTTCGGAGAATTCAGTAGGTGAAATAATATTTTTTTTTGTCTTAGGCATTTTATTTATATTTTCCAATAAATTCTTAGTATTACAGATATGAATAGATTTAGACTTGGATTTTTTAACTTCTCCAGCTTTTTTGGTTGGATTTATTGGCAAATTTATCTGTGGATCTGTTGGTAGATATAATGTTATATCTTTGGAATCTATTTGTGGATGAACTCCTCTCCAAATTTGATATACCCGCTGGGATGAAATTTTATATTTCTTAGCCATAACTTTTGATACTCATTTCATTGAATTTTTGGCTTTAATAATATCCTGAAAATTTTCAACAGATAAGAGGGTTGCATCTGAATGCAAATATCAAAACATTTTTTACAAATAGGCAAAAAAAAACTATTAAAAATTATCGATATATTTTCGGTATATTTTCGGTAGATTCAGTACATTTGATAGGTGTATCGATATATTTTCAATATATTTTCGATACATTCGATACATTCAATAGGTGTATCGATAAATTTTCAATTTATTTGATTATTCATTATATTTGGTATATTAATAAATTTTTGGTAGATTTTATTTATTAAATTTTTTATTATACTAACAATTAAGTGAAAAAATCCATTCGTAAAGTATATAGCTTGAAAGATATTGAGAATAAAGGTTATCAGGTTGGTAGCATCCATAAATCAGAACTTGAAAAAGCATTGTATAATAATATTAAGTCTAGTTCTGGCCTTGCTAATGAATATATGAATCTATAGGATGAATACTCAAAGCAAGTGAAAAATTTTGATCAGGAGAAAAAGAAGTGGAATCAGGATGCATTACATTATGGTACCGAGTTTCAGAAATTACAAACTTGCAGTTCACAAATTATTAATAAGAATAAACAACTTCAAAGCGAGAATACTAACCTTACATCCCAACTTACCTAATCACAAATTTCTCATATCAAGTATAAAGCTAAGTATAATACCCAATTGGAAAAAATAAAATTGCTTCAGGCTATAAATGAGATATTAAAAAATAAATTAGAATCAGCTTAGAAAGATATGCTTTAATTTAAGATAACTCGATCAAAAAAGAACCTGAGATATTATCTCTTAAGTATAAAATGGCAGAATTGAAATGAGAGTTGGTTTCAAAAGTTAATGAGCTGAAACATTTAAAATCGGAGAATATTTCGAAACTTGCGATTACTGGAGGTGATGAAAAAAATATACAAAGCAAGGAACAAAGTTTTATATCGAA